CAACTAGGGCGTGCAGCCTGTAATTACCGAAAAACAAAAAGCCCCAACAATTCGATTTATAGGGGCTTTAAACATGAAATTGGTTGCGTAAACGACATGGGCAATGCATATTTTACGGAAATTAGTCGAAATTACCTCAAAAAATCGAAGCCCAATGGTTCTTCCAGCTTGAATTCGAGATTTCGAATTTTTTTTTTTTGTTGCTATTTGCGGTTTTTTGGTTTTTGTAGGTTTAGAGAGAGAGAGTTTTTTTTATGAACCGAGAATAGCAAAAACGTAACCGCGAATAGCATTTCCGTTTATCTGTTGACTTATTGCCATTTTTGGTAATTTGTTCAAACTCAATGATTTTTTTTTTTGATAAATATTTTGTAATCACAACCAAAAGATTTAAATTAAATTTAATGAATTTTTATATTCTCCAATAATTTTATATGTATGATATTGCACAAATAATACTGTTTATGCGAATATTGTGTGTGCATATGTGTGCTCTTCCACTGATCGTGTTCTTCCACTGATCAATTTCCAGGTTGTTTGGGATTCTATGTGTGTTTTTGTAATTGGCGAGTGAATCCTTTCTTCCACTGATCAGTTTCCAGGATGTTTGGAATTCTATGTGTGTTTTTGTAATTGGCGAGTGAATCCTTTCTTCCACTGATCAATTTCCAGGATATTTGCAGGTAGTGTTTTCGTCAGAAATTCGCTCAAGTTTTCACAGTCAAATTGATTGTAATTCCGATCCAGTAATATATTATTTTTTCCTTTCTCTTTTTGATAGCTGATAATGGAAACAAAGGTGATCTCACCCAAGGACGTGGTATCAATCTTCAAAGCTGTTTACGAATGGTTTAAAAATAGGAAACAAGACAAAGAAAATAAGGATACGAAAGAAGCCATCGATGCATTGGCGAAGGAATGCAATCAGAGAAATTGATGCATTGGCGAAGGAATGCAATCAAATTCTCGCCAACTGCAAGGAGCTAGGCAGCTTCTCACGGATAACAACGAAACAGCTTCTCACAGACTTATTTCCTTAACAACAAACCATTGCTTAAGTGCTTGCATATTTGATTCTTGTTGGATGATTACAAATGAGGACCCTACCCCTATTTATACTAGTCCACCTCCTTAATGGACGGTGGAGATCTATTTGATCTAACGGCTAGGAGTTGTTCACTGGAACACTCCAAAATATTCTTACAAAATATCTACAAGGGAGGATTCTAGAAAGTTTTCTAGAATTCTCCAAGAATCTCTATCTATCTTTATACATTTGGGTCAACTTGGGCCTAACCCTATTCGTGTTAAGTTTTAGGCTTCTTAACCTCCCAACCCAAGGGAAAATGGCAAAGGGTTGGGCCAAAACTGGCAGGCCGTGACAAGCTTCTGATGCTAGAGGTGCAGCTGCTGATGCTAGAGGTGCAGCCGTCGACGCCAAGGGTATTCTTGACCAATAATTTCTAGTCGCGATTTGTTCTTCGAAATCAATGTGTGTGGCTCTTGTTGTTGCCACTGGGGCTGTTCTCACGGCGTATTACATCTACAGTTTGACTCAAAAAACAAAAAATCTCTGCCCTCGCCCCAAGAAATCACTGTGCAAGCTACTCAAACAGTTATCGAAGTTCCGCTTCTCCACCAGTTCTATAGGGAGTTCATCTTTGATGACTCCATCTTCTACTACATTTACCGAACCGATGCCACGTGGTGGAACTCGTACAAGAACACTGCAGTTTCAGCCAACCCTCTCGAGGTGGCCATCAAAATTCGCAACAACAACCATCATGAGGACCATGCACCACCGTTCGATAGCCGCCGCCTCCATGTGATATTCCGCTCATCGGATATGTGGGTCTAAACACGGCCATGGGCCGGTTCGGGCCGGTTCATACCGGTTCAAGGTTCACTTTTTGCGGAACCGGAACCGGCCCGTAATATGCACGGTTCGGCGGGCCGGGTCGGCCCGCCGGTTCAATCCGGTTCCGGGTCGGCCCGGAAATTTATATTTATATATATATATTTAAAAATAAAAACTTAATGGATAAATAAATTAAAATAATTAATTTTAAATAGGAAAAAAACAAAAAGAAATAAATAAAATGACTTTAACTTAATTTTATAGGAAAAAATGGGGTGTGAGGGTATTTATAAAAAAATGGGGGGAGGGGGGTTAAAAAAATAGCAAATAACGGCCGGTTCACCGGCCGGTTTTTGCTTTTTTTTGAATTTTTTGATGTTTTTTTTCCGCGTGAACCGTCGGGCCGACCCGACGGTTCACGGTTCACCAATTCATAGAACCGAGCCCGTACCGGGTACTACGGGCCGGTTCACGGTCAACGGTTCGGGCCGGTTCCGGGCCCAAAACCGGCCCATGGCCGTGTCTATGTGGGTCATGAACACCCAAAGTTTCTTCCTCTGAAATGTTAGTAACGGTGGTGGATCGGTCGACGATGGTGGATCCGGTGGTGAAGCAGTCGACGACGGCGGTGAAGTGGGAGTGTCACCAGCAAACAAATCAGTAATCCCCTCTAACGTCATCACCATCTCGGTATATCCATCATTGGCCGGAGGATCGACCCGAGTAGCTTGAGAATCGCCACGTCGAACTTTACGATTGACCAATGCCTTTCTCTTGCGCTCAGAAGCAGTTTGGGGAATACGCGGTTCCACTGAAAAAATATAAATATAATATTAATTATTTATAAAAAAGAAAAAAAAAAGTTTGCAAAAAAAATCAGTTTACCAGTTAATTTTCGACATCACAATGTCGAAAATTGTACACAAATTCGACACAGCAATGTCGAATATTGCTCGAAAACTCGACACGGGGTTTATGTCAAAATTTTGTACAAATATCGACATTGAGATGTCGAAAAAAGGTCCAATAATCGACAATTGTTTGCTGTCGAAATTAGATGAAAAAATCGACATCAGTATGTTGAAATATGTCCAAAAAATCGACAAGTACAGGTCGTTTTTTGTAAAACCGCAACTCCTTCAACAATAGTGCTAGAATCGAACCCTAGAATCATCAACTATGTTCTAAAATGACTTGAATTCATTATTCTAACAATAAAATCATGTTTATCACATTTTATTTCTCAAAAAAAAGTTAATTCAAAAAGTAATTTCCTTACTTGCTTTTCGTGAGATTGTTGTGGCGGGGTTGGGGCAACAACAGTTGCAGGTGGGGACTTCAACGGCGACGGGGAGGTGGTGGACTTCAACGGCGACGGCGACGGCGACGGGGCGATGGCGAAGGCGGGGTTGAGTGCTGCAATTGAATTTTTCTGTTTTCTTCTTCCCTTCTTCTCTCCTCGTTTTTCAGTTCTCGATTCAATTTCTTTTTTCTTTCTTTTTTTTATTAATTTTTCTTTTTTAAATTGGTCTTGCAAAAGGAAATTAATAAAATAATTTTTTTTTGTTTGTATTATATTAAGGTTATTATAGTCTTTTTATACCGAATTTAATAAAAAAAATTAATTTGGTCTTGCCCTAAGTAATTTTCGTCTTGCAAATAGTCGCTGCCTTTTATTAACGGGTAAATAGCACTTAACTCCTTGTGGTTTGGACATTTTGCACATAACCCTCTTGTGGTTTTAAAATTTTGCACATGACCCCCTTATGGTATGAAATTAGGTACATAACCCTATGTAGTTTTGAAATTTTGCACATAATCTCCTTATGGTATGAAATTAGGTACATAAACCCCTTGTGGTTTTGAAATTTTGCACATAACCCCCTATATTTTGAAATAAAAGGGGTCATGTGCAAAAATTTCAAACCACAAAGGGACTATGTGCCTAATTTGATACTATGAGGGGGTCATGTAAAATATCCAAACTACAATGGGGTTAACTGCTATTTACCCTTTATTAGATGCAGTAAATTGTTGTTGCATGTCGGGAAAACAATCAACAATGGAATTCTTTATTTTAGTTTATTTTGCTTATTATGATGTATCATGAAATTTGACTAGAAGTTTTATTTTGTTTCGATTATTTTTATGATATTCCAACAATAATGTAATTTATTCTAATTTCGACACCTCATTTAAATATAAACAAAGAGTTGCATTAATTTTATTTCAATCTCGTGTATTGCACGAGTGATAATATTATTAGGAAAAGTGTTAATTTATATTTTTTGGGGGCGCCAACCGGCAGCTCCCCAATATTTTTCGGTCTTTGAGATGCTACATTGGGTGAAATACACCAAATAATTATTAACCATTGATGTGGTGAAATAATTTCCCACTAAGTACACATATATATATGAGTGTGTCTGATTATGTGCATATCAACAGTTAATAATCATTCGTTGTATTTCACCGTAGCATCAAATAAACCGTATTTCTCTTAGTTACACCTCCCCGCATGCAGCATTGTGATTTGAGGTCGATTTAGGTGGTTGATGATTGCTAAGCTTCGATTATGGATAAAAAAGAAAAAAGAAAAAAAAGAAAAAAAAAAAAGGAAAAGGAGAATATCTATTTATAACTCAATTTTAACAAAATACTTAAATCAAAAGCCCACGTGTCCGTTTAATTAAGACAACCCCGTTTATAAAATTTAATCTCTTCACAAATTGACCCAAATTTGAAGGGCCCAATTAAATTTGTTTTTTGAGAAGACGATGATGGTATATTTTACAATCTTCTATTTTTCTTTACTTAGAATCATTATTTTTTTAACTTATGTTATTTTTCCTTTTGCGTGGTTTGTTAGAATCTATTGTTGCAGTGGAAAATTCGCCAGCACACTTTCTGACAAAGATTGAATATTTCTCGTTATTTTCCGACTACAGGATTGATAAGTATGAGACCGGGGAATTTGAAGCCGGAGACTATAAATGGTGGTTTGCTATGAATTATTCGTCGAATTTTGGGGATAATTACAGTTTTGGTCCCCCAAGTTTGCACGTTTTTCACTTTTGGTCCCCCATTTACCGCCGTCAACAAAATACACACTAATGTTGTCACATTTTAACACATTTAGTCCCTCCGTCTGTTTGACCGTCAATAAGTTACGGTCAACTGTTGAATTAGGGCTGAATTTTGGATTTTTCACAGATAAAAAATGCACTTAGACCCCCGCATTCTTTTAATATATTCTAAAACCCCCTAAAATTTTATTCAACCCTAATTTAACCCCAATTTCATCATTTAATCAATTTTGACAAACGACCCCGATTTTTACCACCATTACCGCTAACGTTGAACGCCGTTGATTTTTTTTTTTTTACTTTTTTTTTTCTGCATTGACTTTTTTATTTAATATTGATTTTGACGTCGTTCACCGACATTGTATTCTCGGTTAACAATGTTGGCTTTTTTTTTTTTCTTGATTTTTTACGAACTTTTTCCTTTGACTTTTTTTCCGATCAGCACAATTACTGTATAACACAATAATAATACTATATTAATATCTAGTATCGTAATATTAAAATTACAAACTGTTAACAAAGTTTTTATCTACAATTCTAGGGCCTAAATACAATTTTTAAAAAAATCAAAAATCCATAATTTCTTCCCCTCAAATTTTTCTTCGTGGAACCGCCAGTGCATCCCAAATTTATTCCCAAGAAAATATGAAGAAGATGAATTAGGCACGTGCGGAGTAATTTGAAATGAGATAACCACTCTAGTACAATGGTTTTTGGGGCTAACACCGGCCGTTAATTTTTATCTTTTTTTTTTGTCTTAAAATTTTCGTCATTGAGATGCGTTGACTTTTTCCTTTTTTCTTTATTTTGATTTTTTTATGATATTATTTTCTCGCCGATTATCTGCTTTGATTTTTTTTTAATTATATTTTTCCATTACTCAACAATTTAAATAAAAATAAAATAAAAATCAAGAAAAAAAAATGTCAACGCTGTTAAGCCGACATTCAACATCGGTCAACAGCGGGAAACAAAGATCAATCGACAAAAGAGTCAACCGAGTTAAATAGAAAGTCAACGTCGGATTACCAAATTTTGAAAAATCGGGGTCATTGGTTAAAATTGGTTAATTGATGAAATAGGGGTTAAATTATGGTTGTATAATTTTTTAGAGGTTTTTAGAATATTTTGAAATAATACAGGGGTCTTATTGCAATTTTCTCAAAGAAAAACCCCAAATTCAACTGTTGACCGTTACTACTTAACAGTCAAACAGACGGAGGGACTAAATGTGTTAAAACGTGACAACATTAGTGTGTATTTTGTTGACAGCGGTAAATGGGGGACCAAAAGTGAAAAGCGTGCAAACTTGGGTGACCAAAACTGTAATTATCCCTCGAATTTTGTTTATTGTGCTTAATCAGCTAGATATTTATGGGGTTTTTTTTTTCTTTTGATAGGAGGTTGATAATCTATCCCAATGGCAAAGAAAAAGGAGATTTTATTTCTGTATATCTAGCCATGGCCGAAATTATTTATCTCCCTATGAATTGGGAATTCAATGCCATCTTCACCATCTACATCTACAATCAAATATCGGAGAAATATCTTGGTTTTCGATTAAAACGAGGTCGTCGTTTTAACGAAACAAAATCCGAATGGGGATTTCCAAATTTTATGTCTAAAAATATTTTGAAGAAGAAGTCGAATGGATATCTTCTCGATGGCAATTTAGTGCTTGGCGCTGAAGTTTATATCTTCAAAAGACAACAAGTGGTTGAGCGTGTAACTCTGCTCCAACCGTCAAAATACCTAGGCAACTAGAAGATTCCAGAATTTTTTAAATTAAAGGGTAAATTACAAACACCCCTGAGGTATGGTCAAATTACAAAAAAATCCCTCTTATTTGGATAATTACATCTACCCCTCAACTATGATTTTTTCTTACACCTCCACCCTTATGGTGCCAAATTCAACATAATCATCTAGATTCCGTGGAATGTGCTCTAGTTTGTACTCGTTTTGTGTAAAAATACAGTTTCCGATGCACCACAAACTGATATATACAACTAAAAAACACATATTATGATCATCTTGCTTTATAATGTAGAGTTCGAATGGGATAAAACGGGTACAAAAGTGATAATATTCCATATAATCTCGAAGATTCCACTAAATTTGAGGAGTTGAGGGGTGGTTGTAATTATCCAAACAAGAGGGGAGTTTTTGTAATTTGACCATACCTCAGGGGGTGTTTGTAATTTACCCTAAATTAAAAGATGTTTGGACTTGTGAAGAATTTCGTACAAGTGTTTTGAATTGGTATCTTTCTTATCTTTCCATTAATTTTCTTATGTCCAACTTGTTTTTAAATTCCCCTAGTGGTTTGAAATTATATTTTGTGAATTTAGGAAGATGGAGCTATACCCAAAGGGAGATTTCAGTTCATATGACAATGTAGTGAAAATAAATTTGGTGTGTGTTAGTGCTGAAACCTTTGCTACTTATCAAAAAGTTAAGGCGAAGTTTTGTATGCGCCTAATAGACGGATCCAATGCAGTAATACGTGATTGTGAATGTAAGTTTTATGTCGAGTTTTTTTCATGACTTGTTATATATGTTCGACTTGCTATATATGTTCTTGAATATGTTTAAAAATCGTGATTGTGAATGTAAGTTTTACGTCGGGTTTTTTACATGGCTTGCTATATATGTTCTTGAATATTTTTAAAAATCGACGATTTTGCTCTTATATATTTTTCGTAATTGCAGAGTTTACGTCTGTTGATACAACTGGAGGATTTTCATTCAAGAGTCTTGCCGAAACGAATTGCTCGATTCAAGTGGAAATTTGTGTCCAAGTCATTGTGTAGACAATGATAATTGCGAGTTTAGTTTTAAATTGCTACTTTAATCCTTGAATACTATTTTTATTTTTAGTTATTGATTTTTTTCTAAATTAGTTATCATGCATATATTTATTTTAAATTACTTTTATAAGTCATTAATTTTTAAATATATTATTTTAAAATAAATACAAACTCCTAATTTTTCATACTATTTTAAGGATTGTTTTTCCTATTGAAGAAATAATACAATCCAACTTTTATGTGTACTAATATTATTTGAATCAAATATTGTGACCCATGCCCTACAATTCACATGTAATGTTGGTTAATTCATAAATATTGATGTAGTTATTGTTCCCGAACAATATTTCTCTCTAGCTCAATTGTATTGTATTTTCATTATTAAATAAAAATATATTGAATATAATTAATTATCGGCCACCAAAATGTCAACTAATATTTTCATCTATTTTGTAGATAGATGAGCTATATTCTCCTCTCCACTACTTCAGACACGTGGTAGTAATTTACGGAATTTTGTTACTTTATTAAATGCAAAGACTATTATAGGATTGCCGATTATGGATGACAATGGGGCAGGTTTTACAATTCTAGTCCCCACCCTACCTTAGAAATTACCATCCCGATCAAAATCCTCAAATTTTATTAATTCGGATTTCCAAACCCGCTCCGTAAGATCTCCATGGGCACTTTAAAGACTTATTCAAAGAATAAATCAACAAAGTGCAAATTCGACTTCAGATCTCATACAAAATTCCATAAATAAAAAATATGCGTCACATTTTAGCATAATAATTAATAAAATATATATAAATAATATCGCAGGGCGGGGTACATACAAACACGTCTCCATTCCCATACGTGGTCAATTGTTTTCGTCAATCTTGATCCCCACACCTCATATTTTTTCGAGGCGAGTAATACTTGGAAATTTCGGGGTGGCGCGGAGATCCATGCAAATTGCCATCCCCTATTGCCAATTGACATTTGAATACAATTATCATTATTTCACCTAATCTATTTATTTAATTCATTAAAAGTTGAGGGGTCAAATTGAAATAATAGGAAACTAAAATTTAATGATTTAATTAAAAGTTGAGGGGGCAAAGTTGAAATAACAGGAAAATAAAATTAAATGACCGTTCGAGAAGTTGGCTCCATCCTTAAAAACCTTAAATGCATAGCAGCAGCAGCAGCAGCTTCGGCACCCTCCCCAATTCAACTGCTTCCATCAATGCCATATCCCCTCTCAACTAGTAATGTATACATACACACATGTGTGTATGTATATATATATACATATACACACACGTTTCTGTTATGAATATTATAATATAAAATACAATTTAGCTTGATCAACAATGGGTAATATCTGAAGGGATTTGTCCGAATTTTGACTCAAAAGTCAAACCCTTTGTAGTAATCGACAAGAAAAAAAGGTTGGTGTTATCTTTAATTTTGGGGGGTTTTAATTTATTTTTATGTGCTTGGTTGATGAACAAACTCTGGCGGAATTTCCAATGTTTTCTTGATTTTTTATTTATTTTTTGTATGGGGAGATTGACAGAATGTCAGAATCATAGAATTGTAGGGTTTAAAAATTAAATAAAAAATTACAAATTAGTTCAGATTTAGGTGAATTTTTTCACCTGTAAAGATATTCTGCTTTGCATATTATTATTAGGTATATAGTATATGAGATTTTTTCGAATATTTTTCGAAATCCCGTCTTCTTGATTTGAGATACATTGTTGCTTTTCTTGATCATTGAATCTTGATTTGAGATACATTGTAGCTTTTCTTGATCATTGAATCTTGATTTCACTTGTTAAAGATTATGTTTGGTTCGAATATTTTTCGAAATCCTGTTTTTTTCCGGATTTGAGTCCGTTGTATCTTTTTCTTGATTATTGAATCTTGAATCTTGATTTCACTTGTTAAGAAAAGATGGTTGGAAGCATCGAATCTGCACGAAGCAAACCCTACTCAAACGGGGCCCACAATGGTTTCGAACAAAAACTAGACGAGCTCCGAAAATTCATAGGAAAATCCGAAGGCGACCTTCTAAAAATAGTCGGCATAGGAGCCGGCGCATGGGGAAGCGTATTCGCAGCACTACTCCAAGACAGCTATGGTCAATTCCGAGAAAAAATCCAAATCCGAATATGGCGTAGGCCCGGAAAACCACTCGATAAGCACACATCAGAGCATTTATTCGAAGTGATAAACTCTCGAGAAGATGTCTTGCGAAGGCTGATAAGGAGGTGCGCTTATCTGAAATACGTGGAGGCGAGATTGGGCGATCGGACACTCTACGCCGACGAGATTTTAAAAGACGGGTTTTGTCTGAACATGATCGACACGCCTCTTTGTCCAATGAAAGTTGTGACAAACTTGCAGGAAGCTGTTTGGGATGCGGATATTGTGATAAACGGATTGCCGTCGACTGAAACTCGAGAGGTTTTTGAGGAGATTCGAAAGTATTGGAAGGAGAGGATTAGTGTACCGGTTATTATATCTTTGGCGAAGGGTATTGAAGCTGAGCTGGAGCCCTCGCCTCGTATAATTACTCCTACGCAAATGATTCATCAAGCAAGTAAGGATGTTTATCCTCTGTTTTTCTTTCTTTGAAAAAAAACGGAATTTTCCGAAAGTGCTAATTCCGATCTGATCTGTCCGATTTTGGTGGTGTTTGCAAATGCGATTATGAGCTTTTTTCTGCACATAATCAGTTTTTAGGTCTTTGCAAAACAAGCTTTTGCTTTTACTTCTCTTAAAATAAGTTGCTTTAAGCTATAATTTTAAAAGCACCCATGTACCTGCTTTTTCTAATTTAGTTTATTTTCCAGCTAATTTGCAAACACCCCTAACTTTTAGAAATAAGCACTTAATTCCAACTTAACTCACAACTTCTGCTTTTAAATAAGCTTTTGCAAACACCACCTTTATCAGATTGATTCCTGTTTTTTTTTTATTTTTTTTTATTTTTTTTTTATTTTTTATAACAAGGCTTATCTGAACGAGTATTAAAACGATAAAATTAGCGTTAGACCCTTTTTTCGAATATTTCAGTAACTATATATAGCTGGTTTGCCTTGGCAGCTGGAGTTCCCATAGAAAATATTCTTTATCTCGGTGGACCTAATATTGCTTCCGAAATTTACAACAAGGAGTACGCCAATGCTCGTATATGTGGCGCCGAAAAATGGAGATTACCACTCGCAAAGTTCTTAAGACAACCTCAATTCACCGTATGGGACAACAGTGACATCATCACGCACGAAGTTATGGGAGGCTTGAAAAACGTCTACGCAATTGGAGCCGGTAAAAAAAAAATCGTCGACCAATTCTTGATTATGAGTGCCTCCTAATTTACAAATTCTTCGTCTTATTATTATTATTAATTTTTTTTTTGATGGTTAGGAATGGTGGCGGCTCTAACTAATGAAAGTGCGACCGGAAAATCGGTATATTTTGCGCATTGTACATCGGAGATGATATTCATTACACATTTGTTGACCGAAGAACCGGAGAAGCTTGCGGGCCCTTTGCTTGCGGATACGTACGTAACTTTATTGAAAGGCCGTAATTCTTGGTACGGACAAATGATCGCTAAGGGCCAATTGAGTCTCGATATGGGGGATAGCATCAGTGGCAAAGGAACTATTCAGGTATTTAATCGGGTTTATCGCAATTAGACCCCTGCATTTACTCTAATTGTCAAAAAAATCTCCGTGTTATATGAATATTAGCAAAATCACCCAAGACTTATTAGCAAAACTACCCCTTAAAGATGCACCATTTAAAAGTCGAGTTCTTATCAAATTATTTAATTCTTCATTCTCGATTTGTATATGTAACATTTTCATCATTTTTTCATGCGTCTTTATACAATAAGGTACTAAAAAAAACGAATATTTTTTCGTGAAATTTTACAGGGAGTGTCTGCGATCAAAGCGTTTTACGAACTTTTAAGCCAGGCTAGTTTAAATGTACTTCACCCTGAAGCAAACAAGCCAGTTGCCCCGGTCGAGCTCTGCCCCATTCTCAAGATATTGTATAAAATTCTCATTACAAGGTAAAAGATTTAATCAATTTTATTTTATTTCTTTTTGCATATGTAATTTTAGAACTAATTGCAAACACGATAATTTTCGTGTCCGATTTTAGGGAACAAGGGCCACAAGCAATTCTTCAAGCATTGAGAGACGAAAATCTAAATGATCCGAGGGATCGAATCGAGCTAGCACAAACTCATGCCTTTTACAGGCCTTCACTTCTTGGGCACAATTCTTGATTGAATTATTACACATTATTATTTTTTTTTTTCTATATGCAATATTGTTCTTGGTGACAACTGACAATGTTGGATGGGATTTGGGTTTGTTTTAATAATTCATTAAATTATTAAATTTACACTTTTTGGTCCCTTGTGTTTCAGCAATTTAACACTTTTGGTCATTTCCGTTAATTTAATGTTAGTCCGTTAGTTAAGAGGGTGATGGGCATATATGCATGATTCTATTACTAATGGAAAATTGGCGGAGGTGATAAAAAATATTAGATTGTTTAAATATAAGGGACTAAATTTGTATTTTATGAACACGGAGGGCCAAATGTAAAATTTAATTTTCCCAAATTCCAAATATGCTGCACCAGGTTTGGGCCTTAGGCCCATTCATCAACTACTTATCTTGAACAATTGTTTTACTATTTAACTAATTAAAGCCCAAAATGTAGAAATTAGCCTCGAACTAGATGTTATTAGCACTTTGCACCCTTCGAACTAGATGTTATTGGCACTTTGTATCCTTCAGTTAGAAAATTAGCACCTTGCACCCTCTAATTACAATTTGTTGGCACTTAGCACCCTACTACACATTTAGTCTAGAAAACTAACCGACAAGGCTACAACCATTTTTGTGGGTTTCAAGAGGGGCAAATTTTCATTTCTTTATTCTAATATATTAGGGTAGTTTTTCCGAGTTCGAAACTCCACTCGACACAACTCAAAAAGCTACTTCCAGGGAGAAAAGAAGACGGTATAATTGAGCAAACGATGATCAAATTGCTGAAAAAGAAAAGTTAAAAAGAAAACGATATTTAAGTTTGTGAGAAATAAGAAAGACAAGTATAACCGTCTTGAAACGTATGATGAAACCCATGTAGGTCAGATTTCTAGCCAAAATGTGTAGTAGGGTGAAAAGTGCCACACAATTTATAATTGGAGGGTGAAAAATGCTATTTGTTTCAATTTAAGGATGCAAAATGTCAATAAAGTTTCATTCAAGGGTGCAAAGTGCAAATTACCTATTTCTGCTGTGACTGTAAATGATAATTGTGAATCCCTGTCGAAGGGCAGGCAGACAACAAGACGAGTGTTACTGTGCGAGTGTGTGTACGCGCGGAAATGGCGTCGACCGACAAACCAATCGAAATCAGCAGCGCGAAGATGTTCGATGGATACAACAAGAGATACAAACACTACAGCCATACTTTGGGCTGCTCCATGAATTTCCATATCTACTTTCCCCCTAATTCTTCCCCTTCCCACAAATTCCCCGTACGTATTTCTCACCCCAATTTCCATTTTTTTTTTCTTTAATTGTTTCTGTTTTTGCATAATTGATCCCTAATCGAATGCCTGCCTACCTGTAATTAGGGTTTTCTGTCTTAGGGTTTGCTTGAATCTGCATTATGTGGTTATAATAGAAATCTCAAAATTGGGGATTTCGGTGTTAGGGTTTTGTAGTTGTTCAAGTGTTTTTACATTGCTATGATTCTGCGATTCTAGATTTTGTTTGGTATGATTGATTCTGTGTTTATCAATATATAATCGAAACAAGAGTGATGTAGATTGTAGAATCTGCCTTGATGAATTTTCTGGAATGGTTTCGTAGGTACTTTACTGGCTTTCCGGGCTTACGTGCACCGACGAGAATTTCATCGCCAAATCGGGTGCTCAACGTGTTGCTTCGAGTGAGGGTGTTGCTCTGATCGTCCCAGATACTTCTCCAAGTTAGTTACTTTCGGATTCAATTTTTACTTAGTAATATTCACTTATATTACCCCATTATGTATGTATCTATCTATGTGTGTGTGTGTGTGCGCGCGCGTGAAGGAAGATAACCTTTTCAACACCTTCGTCGAAGCTTTTCATATATTTTTTTTTTATGTACTAGAGGCAGTTTTATGTTTACACTCACATTCTTTGCTAATTCTACGAGACTTTTGGTGACTTACGGTATTTTAATTTGTATATAAAAAACTACATTTTGGTTCGTCACTCAAAACTGTATAGTACGACTTCCTAATTTTAGTTGTACCATAGTATCGTCTTTTTCTAACAAACATATCAAGAGTGCGAGCGTGCGTTTTATTGCAGGGGGGTTGAATGTTGAAGGAGAGTCCGACAGCTGGGATTTTGGTGTAGGTATGTACGTCTCAAAGACGGCAAATTTCTAATTGTTGTTTGCTTTTTAAATTTTAATTTGAATAAACTAACAATCCAAATATTAATTAATTGACAGGTGCTGGGTTTTATCTGAACGCAACACAAGAAAAGTGGAAGAACTGGCGAATGTACGACTACATTGTGAAGGAACTGCCGGCGCTCGTTCACGAAAATTTCCCACAGCTCGACACAACTCGAGCGTCTATATTTGGTCATTCGATGGGCGGACATGGAGCGCTCGTAATTTACCTTAAAAATTTGGACAAATACAAGGTAACAACAATTTATAATGTTTTTTCTTTTTCCCGAGATGTATTATCAAGACGACTATTGTACCAAAACCATTACTTAGCGTATGTTCGACATTGTTTGTTTTCAGTCGGTGTCGGCTTTTGCACCTATTGTGAATCCTACAAATTGTCCGTGGGGCCACAAAGCTTTCACTAATTACTTGGGCGAAAATAAATCTGCTTGGGAGGTAGTACAATCTTTCAATGATTTAATTGTGTTAAAATATGCTTTTAGTCGAATTCTTTTATAGCTTATAATTTTCACTATGCAGGAATATGACGCCACGCTGCTTATATCGAAATACAATAATCTTTCGGCAACTATCCTCATCGATCAGGTACAACACCTAATTTATCGACCTTAATTACTAAATCTACTTCGTCTTCGTCCTTTTATTATTATTATTTACTTTTTTTATTTTTGACACAGGGAAGTGATGATAAATTCTTGAGTGAGCAACTAAAACCGGAGATATTTGAGGAGGCTTGTCGAAAGGCTAATGTTCCTCTGTTACTCAGAATGCAAGCGGGTTACGATCACTCGTACTTTACCATTGCTACTTTCATAGACGACCACATTCGTCACCATGCTCAAGCCCTTAATCTATAATAATAATCTTATTACCTATGTAATAATTTTATTTCCTAGGTTCGTGTGACGAATTCAATTTCGACTACTTTTGTACTGCAAACCCGTTACGTGTTCCGTTGTTTCTTCGGTTCTTGAAGCATGTTTTGTGGCACAATTTTTTAATTTTTATTTTAATCTTTTTTCTTACTGGTCTGATTTCATAGTAAAAACAATTAAATTAGCATTAAGGAAACATATATTGTATGGATAATTAAAATCGAATAACAAACTACTAATTATTGTTTTTCTTTTAATCTCAACTCTTACTGCAAAAGCCCTACAACTTCTTTCACAACTTCATCAATTTCCTCACAACCATTGTACTTCAACTTCTCCTTCATATAAGCAGCTCTTTCCCGAACGAACCTTCCGGAATCTTCCACCACCACACTTCTTATAACCGCCGCCACCGTTTCTCTACGGAACCTTCTATTCTTGTCCCGCAAAACCTCCACCCCCACACCGACCTCTTCAACAAGCCTAGCATTGACCGGCTGGTCAACATGCATCGGCATTGCTATAATCGGCACCCCAAAATACATACTCTCCATCAAAGAATTCCACCCGCAGTGGCTCACGAAACCCCCGACGTTCGCATGCCCTAAAATCATCGTCTGCGGGGCCCACCCCTCCAAAACCCTACCCCGGCCTTTAACCCTATCGAGAAACCCTATTGGCAATATTTCCTCAATTGATGAAGAGGCATCGCCTTTAGGCAACCTCACAACCCATATGAAGTTTGTTTTACTAAGTTCAAGACCGTAAGCAACCTCGTAAATGTCCTCCTTCGTGATAAAACACTCGCTACCGAACGAAACAAAGACTGTCGATTTCTTCTCCTTCTTGTCAAGCCAAGACATAATTCCGTTGTCTTTTCCGTCATTAGGGTTACTAGAAGATTCTAGAATCACCAATGGACCAACGGGGACGAACTTCTTGCCCATCAAACTCGAAGCATAATCGATGTACTTACCCTCGATTTCCCTACAACCTTTGATCAAGACAATCTTGTCTGAAACCCTAGCCCCCTCGAGCACGTTCTTAGTCCTCTCCACGCTCGCGATAGTCTCCAAAACAAACGTCATGTCATCGTAATCACGGTGATAAATACTTTTCGAGAACGGAAACTCGATACCTGGGTGGAGCAACTGGTGGTAGAGATGGCCGGTCGAGGCGGCACCGCTAGTGAGGAACTCAACCGCCGCGATTTTCCGATCTTTGGCAACCGAAGCTGCCCATGGCTGAAAACAATCGTAGATAACCAAATCGGGCGTGAGTTTTTCCAAGACTCTGGAGAATTCGTTAGCCGATGAGTCTAACATTTCTCTGAGAGTTGGGATGAGATGGGATGGGAGACCATTTGTGGTGTGGAAATTACTCGGAAGCCCTTGTGTGTTTGGCAAGTGAAAGGGGACTAGTTTGATTGAGTTTGAGAGATTTTGAGGGACTTTTTTGTCAATGCAAGTGAGTGTGGCTGGTGTGGAGCACATGTATACGGCGAACGAGTCGTTTTTGGTGACGAGTTTTTTGGCGAGTTCGAGATAGGGTGTTATGTGACCGTAAGCTAACCACGGGAACATCAAAACACGAATCGTTCTTCGCCTCTCGTTTTTGTTCGATTCCATAATTCAATTTCCTTTTTTTTCTGTTTTTTTTTGTTTAAAAGTATTGTGTTGAGGAAGAGTGTGATTCTTGTTGCATTATATAATTGGTAGAGATTTTTTTTGAAAAGGGATTGGAGATTTGGAAATAAAAAATGGCAAATGAAGATAATTTCGGTTTGATATTTTTGTGATTCGGAATGTGGTTTTAAGAGGAATTGTAATAAATGTTTTGATTCTTGAATTACTCATGCAAATCCAAAGCCCTCGTCTATAATTAATATTTCTTTATTAAAGTTCAAATATAGAATAAATAAAATCACATAAAAATATCTCATTTTTAAATACATTCATATCCTAAAAACAACTTTCATTTAATTTATAAACACCTTTGTATAACAAAGTGAAATTTTAAAATCAAGAAACCCCGTGCGAATGTGGCTTAGTTGGTGGAGTAAGTAGAGTACTGCGGCGTCTAATTAACGGCCTTAATTTTTGGTCTACATTTTCTAGGTCGAGCTCGTTGCATAGGGGGGTTGTTCAATGATGTTTACATGTCTCGATCGTGTGGTTTGAATGATGTCGTAATATGCATTGTTAATTCCCGTTATTTTTCAATTTAATCCTACATTTCAAAAGAAAATGACATCATTTTTGGTACGTGAGTGGACCCAATACGTGTTTTATATATAGTTGTTTGCGGGTTCATTTGTTATTAAAAAAAATATATAATTGCTCTTTTATTTGTTGACCTTAAATTGATTCTTTTTACTAAATATGAGTTCTTAATGATTATTGTTCCTATAGGTTGTAATTAAGTAATTATAGCTTTTTGTGCCAAAAAAAAAACATGATCAAAGCCAAGTATTTGAAATTATGATCACAAAGAACAACACAATTGCAGAAGACAAACATCCAAATTAAACTATAGGAAAAACAGATAGACTACATTCAAGAAATTACATAATATAAGCTTGTATTAGTATAGCAAGCCATTAATTATTATCATATGACTAATCAATAGATGTCATTAATTAACTAATTAATTATTCTTTGTCTCAAAGTACTCTTAATTATTGCATGCAAAGCCCTACAAGTTCTTTCACAACTTCATCAATCTCCTCGTCACCTCTCTTGCCCCTCAATTTCACCCCCACGTCAGCAGCTCGTTTCCTCACGAACTTTCCGGAACTTTCCACGACCACACTTCTTATAACTTCCGCCACCGCTTCTCTACGGAACCTCTTATTCTTGTCTCTCAAAACCTCCACTCCTACGCCAACGTCTTCCACGAGCCTTGCATTAATCGGTTGGTCGACATGCATCGGCATTGCAATAACCGGAACCCCAAAGTACATACTCTCCATCAAAGAATTCCAACCGCAGTGACTCACGAAACCCCCGACGCTCGCATGCCCTAAAATCTTCGTCTGTGGGGCCCACCCCTCCAAAACCCTACCCCTACCGTTCGCCCTATCGAGAAACCCTATTGGCAACATTTCCTCTATTGATGAAATATTAGTATTGTCACCACCTTTAGGCAACCTCAAAACCCATATGAAGTTGCATTTGCTAAGTTCAAGACCGTAAGCGACCTCGTGTATATCCTCCTTAGTTATGAAACACTCACTACCAAACGAAACGAAAACTGTCGATTTCTTCTCTCTCTCTGCGAGCCACGCCATTATTTCGTCATCTTTTCCGTCGTTAGGGTTACTAGAAGATTCTAGAACCACCAACGGACCAACGGGGACGAACTTCTTGCCCATCAAACTCGAGAGGTAATCGATGTACTTACCCTCGATTTCCCGACAACCTTTGATCAAGACAATCTTGTTTGAAACCCTAGCACCCTCGAGCATTGCATTAGTTTTCTCCACGCTCGAAATAATCTCCACAAACCGCTTATCATCCTCCACACCATTTTGATAAATATTCGGGAACGGAAACTCGGTACCTCGACGGAGCAACAAGTGGTACAGGTGGCCAACTGACGTAGCGCCACTTGTCATGAACTCAACCGCTCGGATATTCCGATCTCTGGCAAGTAAAGCCGCCCATGATTGGAAACAATCGTAGATGAACAAATCGGGCGCGAGTTTTTCCAAGATATCGGAAAATTGGTTGGCCGATGAGTTCAAGGCGTCTTCGAGCTTTGGAATGAGGTGGGATGCGAGGCCTCTTGTGGTGTGCAAATGACTTGGTAGTTCAAGTGTGTTTGGCAAGTGAAAGGGGACTAGTTTGATGGAATTCGAGAGATTTTGAGGGACTTTTTTGTCAATACAAGTGAACGTGGCCGGGGTGGAGTATATGTATATGATGAACGAGCTGTTTTTGGTGGCGAGTTTTTTGGCGAGTTCGAGATAGGGTGTTATGTGACCGTAAGCTAACCACGGGAACATCAAAACACGAATCGTTCTTCTTCGGCTCTCGTTTTTGTTCGAATCCATAATTCAATTTATTTTTTTCTTTTCTTTTTTTTTTTTTGTTTAAAAGTATTGTGTTGAGGAAGAGCATGATTCTTGTTGCATTATATAATTGGTAGAGATTTTCTTTTTTTGAAATTGGAGATTTGGGAAATAAAAAATGGCAAATGAAGATAATTTCGGTTTGATATTTTTGTGATTTGGGATGTGGTTTTAAGAGGAATGGTAATAAATGTTTTGATTCTTGAATTACTCATGCAGATCCAAAGCCCTCGTCTATAATTAATATTTATTTATTAAAGTTCAAAAGTAATAGAATAAATAAAATCACATCAAAAAGATTTCATTTTTCAATACATTCATATCCTAAAAACAACTTTCATTTAATTTATAAACACCTTTGTATAACAAAGTGAAAATGTTAAATCAAGAAACCCCGTGCGAATGTGGTTTAATTGGTGGAATAAGTAGAGTATTGTTGCGTCTAACGACCTTAGCTTTCGATCCACATTTTCTAGGTCGAGCTAGGGGGGTTCTTCAGTGATGTTTACATGTCTCGGTCGTGTGCTTTGAATAATGCCGTAATATGAATTCACTACAACAATTTGGGGTTTATACGACCCTTTGTTTACCTGACGGTTTTAGAACCGTCGTATAAACACGTATTTATGACGCTTTTCAAAATATTATTGGCGCTATAAAACCGTCGTATAAAGGTGTATTGTCGACGCTTTTTTAAGCACTCCCATCTAACGTTTTACCGTCATATAAATCTTATTAAAATATTGTATTTTCACTTCAATTTTGTAGACCAAAGGCTTTTTATTTTTGTATTGCTGCTTTCCAAATATTATAAACGTGAAAGTCAATCACGCTTTCAAACACGTACAAAAATCTTAATTTTAATTCACCACTGAACTATTTTTTTTATTACAAATTAAACTCAATTTAAATCTCCACGTTAGGGTTTTTCTAAATATAACACTGAACTATTTTTTATTTCAATTTAAACCCATCGAGACACTATTCCTCCAGAGCCACGGCAAGTGCCGACGCCACTGCCACCGCCACTGCCACCGCCACCGCCACCACCACCGTCACCGCCATCACCACCACCGCCGCCACCACCACCACCACCATCTCAGCGTGACAATACCGTGCTTTTGTCCTGATTGCTGTTGCCACATCCCGCTACCACGGCTGCAAATTTGCAGCAACTGGATCTGTGGCCCTCAATTAGATATTGCCACCGCCACCGTCACCGATTCTTACATCGTCACCGCTGCTGAAATCGTCATCTCCGTGTTGAAATCGTCATCTCCAACTGCTATTTAACTTTGGTTAGTCGCTTTCTCCAGATTTTGGAAAACAATTGAGGTGGTATTGAATTATTAAATTTGAATACTGGAATTAGGTTTGACAAATTGATAAGATAAAATAGGGCATATGAAATGGTTATTTTGTTCATAATTTTTTTTAATTTATCAAAATATTATTGTGATCATATTTGTCCTTAATAATGTGTGCTCTCCAGAACATTATTGTGCTCATAATAACATTTTTTACAGAAGGGGAATATTTGATTAATATTTGATTTGTGTGAGTTTACTTCTATTTATCCATCATTATTCTATTATTCGATTCTCGAATTTAATGAGGTAGAAATGGGAATATTTGATTAATACTTTTTTCCTATTTTCAGTGTAAGCATCAACTAGCTACAAGAATCGCTGGCTCAGCTGGAACATGCAGTGATGCTAAGATTTTTTACGAGGAATTAGCGGTGCTGTTATCCAACAATGATTAGTGTGTGTCTGTGTGTCTATGTATGTGTGTATTTCATAATTAACTTTAGAAGTGCATAATTTTCAGATTTGAGTTCCATATTTTCTTGGTTTTGGTAAAACGACAAATTACAATTTCAGATTGTTGTTGTGACATTGAAAAGTTTGGGTGGCAGGTTTTTCTTTGGCCTTGCTAAACATAATATAAAATCCAAGGGATAAACAATTTTTTCTATGGATAAAAGTTGGATTAAAATCCGAAATCGATTGCAGCCCGAATGCGTAAATGGTGCCAAATCATTTCTTAAGTTTGCATACGCAAATCTGGGATCGGGGGATAAAATTAAGTGTCCGTGTATCAAGTGTCAAAATTTAATGAATAGGAGAAAATGAATAGTTTACGAACATTTGATAATGTATGGATTTCTTGATACCTAGACTAATTGGGTATATCATGGGGAGACTCATGTTTGCATTTATGAAGAAGATGATGACTTTCTCGAAGACGAGAGAGACGATATAGATGGTATGATTAATGATGCTTTCGGTCTTATAGAGGAAAATGACGGTCTTGCATATTCTGATGAGATTAATAATATTGAGCTTGATAAGGAAACTAAGGCATTTTTTAAACTATTACAAAATGCCAAACAAAAGTTATATCCTGGATGCGAATTCACGTTATTGTCCTTCATACTTCGGTTATTGCGGGTGAAGTCTACTTACCGTTGGAGTAATAAGTCATTTTCAGTGCTATTAGAGATCTTAAAAGTGGCTTTACCTCAAACTGTTGCATTTCCGGGTTCGTATAGGGAAGCATGGAAGATAATTAAAGGGTTTGGTCTGGATTATAAGAAAATTCATGTATGCCCTAATGATTGTATGTTGTATTGGTAAGAAACAGAAAATGAGACAAGGTGCAGTAAATGCCAAATGCCAAGGTATAAAGTTTGTGATGGTGAAGATGAACGGCTAAAGATTCCAAGTAAGGTTGTTAGGTATTTTCCATTAATACCAAGACTTCAAAGGTTGTATATGTGCACTGAGACATCACCACTCATGAGATGGCATGCAGAAGGACGAATAGATGATGGGGTACAAAGACACCCTGCAGATTCTCTCGCTTGGAAGACATTTGACCAACAATGTCAAGTGACTGTCGCAATGCCAGACTTGGACTAGCGACCGACGGATTTAACCCTTTCAAGTCCATGAGTGTATCCACAGCACGTGGCCCGTAATACTTGTTCCATACAATTTTCCACCGGGGATGTGCATGAGCAAGTCGAGTATTATGCTATGTTTATTAATTGATGGTCCTACTGCCCCTGGTAATGATATTGATATTTTTTCTACGACCTCTTATGGAAGAGTTAAAAGAGATGTGGAGTCCAGGAGTGCCGGCATATGATGCAACCAGCAAACAAATGTTCAACATGCGAGCTGCACTTATGTGGACAATCTCCGATCTTCCTGGCTATAGTAATTTATCTGGCTGGAATGTGAAAACTGAATATGGTTGCCCGTGTTGTTGTCTCGACACCCACTCGAAATATTTGAAATATGGCAAAAAATATTGTTTTAGGGGTCATCGTAGATTCTTGGATGAAAATCACAAGTTTAGAGATGATTCAATATCATTTGATGGCAATGTAGAATATGGCTATAAGCCCACTCGAGCCTATGGAAATGATTTGATTAGTGAGTTGAATGATGTTATCACTGTATATGGTAAGAGAATATCTTTACCATTGAAAAAAAAGAAGCTCGATGGCACCTCAAGACAACATAATTGGAAAAAGAAAAGTATTCTCTTCGAGCTACCTTATTGGAAAGACAATTTGATTCGTCACAACCTTGATATAATGCACATTGAGAAGAATGTTTGTGATAATATTATGTGGACGGTTTTGGGCATCAAAGGAAAATCAAAAGATAATTTGAATGCTCGTCTAGATCTTCAAGATTTGGAAATCATAAATGCGCTTCATCCACAACTACATGGCAATGGGAAGGCTTATTTGCCTTCTGCAAGTTTTTCCATGAGTAAGAAAGATAAAGATATGTTCTGCAAAATAATAAGGGACGTGAAAGTGCCTGATGGATTTGCATCAAACATTTCAAGATGTGTAAAAAAAAAGGGTGGAATCTTTCTGGACTTAAAAGCCATGACAATCATATATTATTGGAGTTGCTACTGCCATTAGCCGTGAGACATTGTTTGCCTAAAAATGTAAGCAAAGTTTTGATTGAGTTAGGCAATAACTTTAGGCAATTGTACTCCAAAGTAAGTCGTGCGAGTGATTTCGAAGCACTAGAGCAGAGCATAGCATTAACTCTTTGCCACCTGGAAAGAATTTTTCCTCCGGCATTTTTTGATTTGATGGAGCATCTACCGATTCATCTAGCTGAGGAAGCTAAGTTGGTTGGACCAGTTCAATATCGCTCGATGTTTCCCATTGAGAGGTACAATTAATATATATTTTTTAAATATATTTTTTCTACATTTCATAACAATGTTTTCAACAGGTACTTATGTACACTTAAGAACTATGTCCGCACAAGAAGTCGCCCAGAAGGCTCGATTGCCGAAGGATGCTTAGTTGAAGAATGTATGAACTTTTGCTCTCGGTACTTGGGTGATGTAGAGTCAATAGGTGATCGTTCTAGGAGAAATTATGAAGGTTTTGAGAATATTTGCAAAGAGAAGGTCGTGTTATCGGAGGAACAGAAATAATATACATGGAAACAATTTTGTGGACTCAAGCGCACAGATATGTTCTTGGAAATTATGACATGCTTGCTCCATTTCGTGAGTAAGTTTTTGATAATCTATTTTTATGTAAATACATACACACAAATACTCCAATACATATAGAATAATTATTTGTTATTTTGCCCAGAGAGCACCTTAAAATGTTACAAAGTGAGAAGCGTCGGTTGGATATATATGAAAGACAAAAGATCCATAATGCAACATTCTACCAATGGCTTAAAGAATATGTGAGTTATTTTCATTTAAGTTCCCATTTTTCATAGTGTTTACCATGTGAAGGGTTTAACTTATGTTTTAATATTCTAGGTTTCAACATTAGAGAAAAGTGACAGAAATGTAAGTCAACTTACAGATGAAGTGAGATGCTTAGCAAGAGGTCCTGATAGATGGGCAAAAATATATTCTGGTTACGTGATAAATGGCTTTAGGTTTCACACTAAGGATCGGGAGATGAGAAAAAAAAAACCCAGAATAGTGGTGTTTTCTTAAGTGCGGTTGTTGAAAGCTATTCAAGTAGTAAAGATAAAAGACCAATTTCTGATGTTGTGAATTACTATGGTATCTTAACAGATATTGTTGAATTGTGTTACCCAAATGAAATGACTTACGTGCTATTTAAGTGCAGTTGGGTTGACAATAATGCAGGGGTTAGAGAGGATGAGTTTAAGTTTACCTTAGTAAATTTCAACCATTTGTTATATAAGCATAATCGAATTTCGGATGAACCTTTTGTCTTAGCTTCTCAAGCCCAACAGGTATGGTATGCGCAAGATCCGATTGACATAAATTGGCATGTTGTTGTTAAGACAATACCGCGTGACTTAATTGATATGAGGTCAAATGACCTCATGGGAGATATTATGGAGAATGAGGAGTCTGGTCTTCTCAATGGGCAGTCGTTGAATAATTCTACTACCGATTGTGATGAACGTGAGACATGGGTGAGGACTGATGTGGAAGGAAGTATAGTTCTTACATCTGAAATTCAGGAATTTGAAATAAATAGGATGAACCATCAAGATGACTTGGGTGATGAAGATGAATATGAGAATGACAATGAGGAAGACTTATACTACAGCGATGACGAGGAAACTAACCTTGATGCAGCTCAAGCTACTGGATTTAGGCTCTAAGAGTTGTTAGATTATTGTAGTAAATAGTTATTACATTTTGTGGTTAATATATTAAGCTGTTCAAGATGTCTCAAAATACGACTGGTATAACTATTTTTTTGATTCTACAGTATATTGTGGATTATTAGATTAATAGTACAAATCATGACACTTTGGTTTTCGTTTTCTGAACAACAGGTTTATTCGACTCTCATTTGCAAGTTTTGTGCAAGTTTTGCCGGCTAAGAAATTCAGGTATTAAGTTGTCCCTATGTCTTAAGTTCGAGTAATAAAAATTAGCATAATCGAAAGTATATCAATTAAACTACTTGAGATTTATTGTGAAATCACTGCATAATATATGTGTCAATGTTTTATTCTCGCAAATTATGAATCACGGGAAACGCATACGAAACGTTGTTTCTCAAGGGAATATAGAGTTCCCACCCTCTCATTCTCAGCAACATTTTCATCAAGGGAATGCAAAATTCCCACCCTCTCATTCTGATCCGTATTTCCATCATGTATATTCACATGGTCAACCATCATCATCTAATTCTTATGTTCCATCGAATGGTGGATTTATAGAATCAGAGAACAATGCAGATGATGCTTCATATGATGGTAAATTTATCATCTTTTCAGTTACACTATTAACTTTCTACTAAACTCAATATATTTTTTTACTTTGAATCCAGGGACGAGTCAGAGAACAACAAAAAAAAGGCGAGGTCGTACAAAAATGCTCAAATCATGGGGCAATGAAAAATTTGAAGTTTAAGTTAATGAATTTAATCAAGCTATTGGTGAAAATGCAGCAAACTTTCAAGTCAGATGGGTCGTGTGGCAAAAAATGGCAGCCGATTTCCTCTTACAGTTGGAGATTGGAGAAAAATTGACAAGTATAACAAGGAAATAACTTGGTTGGAGTATACGGTAACATAGTACTGTATGTGATGAAATAGTGAACATATTTCATTATTAGATACATTAGATTATGTACTTGGTTTAATCGGCAAACTCAGTTCTTCTAATTTTTTATAATAGGCAAACTTCTCACTCGAAGACAATTTTAAACCTCAGTTTCTTAAAAAGTTGGGCAATAGAAATCTGAGGTTAAAAGAACTTATTATTCTATACATGAGACTGATGCTGAGCGATTAGCTATAATTGTCCCGACATTGTTGAAAAAGATCAATGGCCAACTTTAGTTCATCATTGGAGTTCTAAAAGTGTTGAGGTTTGATGATTTCATATTATCGTTTAAAAAATAATATCCAACATTTAACCTATTTTTATTATTTTCTATGCAGAGCATTAGTGATAAAAACTCTTTGAACCGAGAAAAGCAAAAAGTGCCACATAGAACTGGAAAAAAAAAGTTATGCAGTTGTTAGGAATGAGGTACCGAGCTTTTTTTTAATTTGTAATAGATAAATATGGTTTGTTGTAAGTATTACTTCTTTGACTTATGCTACTCAGATGCAATACATATAGCTAGCTCTCTTTTATTTTGTTTCATTTTTCAGATGCAAATAGAAAATGGCAAAGATCCTACTGATTACGACTTTTGGATGGCAACACATGTTGGTTTGGCCAAGACACCACTTGATAGAAAGACATCTAAATTCATTGTATGTATTATGTTATTTCAATTCGATGTTTATGTCTTTCAGTTATACAATTCTAATTTCATCATTTTGCAGGAAAAGCTTAGACAAATGATTTCCAAAAATCCAGAGGGCTTGAAATCAGAAGAAATGAGAGATCAACTTTTAGCTCAATTTTTTGGTCCAGAAAAGTCAGGGCAGATGAGAAAATATGGCTTTGGTCCAACACCTACTCAAGTGAGTTCATTAAAAAATCAAACGAAATTTATTGAGGAAAAAGTTTATATCCTTGTGGATTCCATTCGGAAGGGATTAAAGGAAGAAATAGAATCTGGCTTGCGTAGCATAATCGAAGAAACAGTGCAAGATGTTATTCGATCTCTAACAAGAACAAACTCTTTGGCTCCTGAATCTGCTGGAGTTTCAGCTCCTTCTACGTCTAGACGGGTAATTATTTTACTTGGAAATTGTATTTTGCAAATGTATGTAGTAATTAATATTTTGGCATACATCAAATTCCTACAGGATCGTAGAATTCCTACATCGTCTAATTTGCACGATGAAGGAGGCACTCAGCCACATAAATCAGTCCCGGAGTCTTCAAGTATACATCATATGCCATCAACTCATACACAATGCGCTCATGCACTCTATGAGTCATCTAGCATGCCTCATATGCCAGCCCATGTTCAAGAAACTCAGGTTCAAGAAACTCAAACTCAGCAATTAAGTGCGAATGACGTGTGTAAAAGGAAATCGCTAAAAAGGTAAACTTTTGCTACCTGAATTTTCTTCAGAAATATTTATTTTTCATAACTTGATTTTAAGTAGTCCTTGTTGTTGAATTTTGGATTTTTATTTTTCAGAAATGTTCGAAGTGTTTGGCAGCGATAGAAGATAGTTATTGGACAAATGTGAGCTATTGAGGTGGCTGGAGTCTTTTGTACAAATTCAGATAAACCTTCAATTGCAAATTTTATTAAAGTTTGTCTATATTTTGTGGAAATTCAGATAAACCATGTTTGGAAATTGAAATATATATTTTGTTATCTTAAGATGTAAATACTTATTTAGTATTGGCAAGTTAGTTTTCGTTGTCTTCGATTTTTTATATTCAACAATTGATGGCAACAAGATTCAGGGAAAAATTGGATTACAATTGGCAGAAAAAGAAGAGTTCTAAAAAATGTACAAGTATTCCCGACGGTTATTTAAGCGTCGGAAAAAACATTCCCGGCGGTTTTTTTACACATGAAACTTTATACGACGCATTTTTTCTCGACGGTCTCCTGACGGTCTAAAACCGTCGCGAAAACTATTCCCGACGGTTTTTGAGTCTTTCCCGACGGTTTTCTTGCGTCACTTAAAGCCATATATGTTGTAGTGATTGTTAATTCCCGTTCTTTTTCAATTTAATCCTAAATTTCAAAAGAAAATGTAATCGATTTATGGTATACGTGAGTGGACCCAATACGTGTTTTATATATAGTTGGCTGCGGATTCATTTGTTATTAAAAAAAATATAATTACTTTTTTATTTTGTTGACCTTAAATTTATTCTTTTAATTACTAAATATGAGTTTTTAATGAATATTGTTCCTAGGTTGTAATTAAGTAATTAGCTTATTCTTTTTGTTGCCAAAAAAAAATAATAACATGATCAAAGCCAAGTATTTCAAATTATGATCACAAAGAACAACACAATTGCAAAAGACAAACATCCAAATTAAACTATAGGAAAAACAGATAGACTACATTCAAGAAATTACATAATATAAGCTTGTATTAGTATAGCAAGCCATTAATTATTATCATATGACTAATCAATAGATGTCATTAATTAACTAAGTAATTATTCTTTGTCTCAAAGTACTCTTAATTATTGCATGCAAAGCCCTACAAGTTCTTTCACAACTTCATCAATCTCCTCATCACCCCTCTTGCCCCTCAATTTCGCCCCCACGTCAGCAGCTCTTTTCCTCACGAACTTTCCGGAACCTTCTACGACCACCCTTCTTATAACTTCCGCCACCGCTTCTCTACGGAACCTCTTATTCTTGTCTCTCAAAACCTCCACTCCTACGCCAACGTCTTCCACGAGCCTTGCATTAATCGGTTGGTCGACATGCATCGGCATTGCAATAACCGGAACCCCAAAGTACATACTCTCCATCAAAGAATTCCAACCGCAGTGACTCACGAAACCCCCGACGCTCGCATGCCCTAAAATCTTCGTCTGTGGGGCCCACCCCTCCAAAACCCTACCCCTACCGTTCGCCCTATCGAGAAACCCTATTGGCAACATTTCCTCTATTGATAAAATATTAGTATTGTCACCACCTTTAGGCAACCTCAAAACCCATATGAAGTTGCATTTGCTAAGTTCAAGACCGTAAGCGACCTCGTGTATATCCTCCTTAGTTATGAAACACTCACTACCAAACGAAACGAAAACTGTCGATTTCTTCTCTCTCTCTGCGAGCCACGCCATGATTTCGTCATCTTTTCCGTCGTTAGGGTTACTAGAAGATTCTAGAACCACCAACGGACCAACGGGGACGAACTTCTTGCCCATCAAACTCGAGAGGTAATCGATGTACTTACCCTCGATTTCCCGACAACCTTTGATCAAGACAATCTTGTTTGAAACCCTAGCACCCTCGAGCATTGCATTAGTTTTCTCCACGCTCGAAATAATCTCCACAAACCGCTTATCATCCTCCACACCATTTTGATAAATATTCGGGAACGGAAACTCGGTACCTCGACGGAGCAACAAGTGGTACAGGTGGCCAACTGACGTGGCGCCACTTGTCATGAACTCAACCGCTCGGATATTCCGATCTCTGGCAAGTAAAGCCGCCCATGATTGGAAACAATCGTAGATGAACAAATCGGGCGCGAGTTTTTCCAAGATATCGGAAAATTGGTTGGCCGATGAGTTCAAGGCGTCTTCGAGCTTTGGAATGAGGTGGGATGCGAGGCCTCTTGTGGTGTGCAAATGACTTGGTAGTTCAAGTGTGTTTGGCAAGTGAAAGGGGACTAGTTTGATGGAATTCGAGAGATTTTGAGGGACTTTTTTGTCAATACAAGTGAACGTGGCCGGGGTGGAGTATATGTATATGATGAACGAGCTGTTTTTGGTGGCGAGTTTTTTGGCGAGTTCGAGATAGGGTGTTATGCAGGGCCGGCCCTGACCTTTTTAATGCCCGGGGCGAAAAAGATAAATTGTGCCCTCGATTTTATTTTTCTATAAATCTTTTTATAAAATAATAATAAATTATAAAAAAAAGAAATTTAAATATCAATAAAATGCTGTTTAAAAATATTCAACAGTAGAAAAAACCCACATATTAAAAAGAAATTGTCATAACATTTCAATTTTAACACAACACCATGAAATAAAAAAAT